TTTTTTTGTTTTTTTTTTTTTTTTTTAATGCTTTGGAATATTTATTTTTTGTGGTTTTGAACAAAACATGCCAAGATACTTTTGGATAATTTTTTGTTTGGCGAGGAAATTTTCTTGCATGCTATGTCCATTCTGGGTGGAGTTCGAGGGAGTCTACAGCAATTTCCATGGTGGAACAATTTCGTGATAAAGGATAGGCTTGGTTAAAATTTTGGTTGAATTAATTTTGAATTTTTAAGTTATTTACTATATTTAAAAATAAAAAAAAATCAAAGGAGACTACAGCAATAATTGACTCTCTTCTTTTCATGGTGAAATCATTATTTATAATGTGTAATAACAGGGGGTTTGACTTATTTTAAATGGACACATTTGCGAAATCAAAATTTTCAGAGTTTATTATTTGTTTTTCTATTTTATTACATATATTTTTAGCTATTTGTTTTTATTAATTGAATATTTCTTATAACATTATTTCAACTTTTGCCATTATAATATCCATTTTATGATAGTAAAGTGCAAAATTAATTTTATTCATTTTTGCACTTTCAATAATAATAATGAAATCGTCTTTTTATTTAAATGTTACAATGTTGGGAGCAACAATCTTATAGGGGCGTTTGTTTCATAGAATAATATAGTATTTTTGAAAATTATATTTTTATTTTTAGGAATAATAAATCACCAAATTTTATTAAGAATATAAGAAAAGATGTTTATATCGAATTAATATTTTTGAAAATTTAAAATAATTTAAATAAAAATAAAAATTAGAAGGATTACAGAAAATGACTTTCAATATTCTTATGAAAATATTATTTATCCACTCCTTTATTATGAAAATAAAACTTTTCTACTCAAAAGTAACATTTCCATTTCATATTTCCGGGAATAGAAGAAGATATCCTTATGCAATGTAAATTGAAAATGTTTTTTCCTGCTTTATATGGAACCGAGATTAGTTGGAATGAAGTTACAAAAGAGCATACTTACCACTATAAGAATCGTTCAAGAGAATATTTAATTACATTTTTAATTCTTCTTATTTTGATTATAAGTTATTTTAATTTTCTAATATTTCATTTGTTTAAGTCTATTTATTCTAAACATTAAGCAAATTCATTCTTCAATCAATATTTTTCAAACTGAATTTTCAAATTCTTATTTTTCACAAAAAAATTAATTAAAAATATAAACTCTCATCCAAAAAAGTCTAAAAAATTATCTTCTCTAAACCTTAATCTCACCACATCTTATAACTTTTTTTTTTCTTTCAAAATTTCACTAAATTTATTATTTATTTGTTTTAAATTTTTTCATATGCCAAATTCATTATAAATCCTTAAATATTTGGATAGAGAATCATATTTGACGATTTTCAATTGAAGAAAACCAATGGACAAACTAAATCTAGTTAGTTTTAAAAATAGGTCTTTATTTGCTCGAAAATAACTCGATATATCAAAATTACACGATTGAAAGTTGAATCTAAAATAATCAAGAGTGTAATTACATATTTTATTTATTTTTTGTTTAAACATGATTTTAGTCTTTTAAATATAAATTAAATATGTTTTTGTCCCTTTTCAAAATTGATTTTTTTAATTCCCGTATTATTAAAAAAAACCTTATTTTAGTCTTTCAAATTATAATTAACATATCTAACTATAACATACTAAAATAATTATATAGTATCAATCTATTTTAATGAGATATTTTCACTAATAATACTAGTAAGTGAATTTTGTGGGACTATTTCACAAATTCATTAACGAAATTTAATCATAAGGACTAAAATAAGATTTTTTTTTTTTAAATTATAGGGACTAAAGATTAATTTTAAATTTAAAGGACAAAAAATAAATTTATCTTAAACTTGAAAAATTAAAAACATTTAAACTTTTATTTTTCTTTCAATTTTAACATAAAACATTAGCTTGTTTTATTTTTTATTTTTTAATTTTAGAAACTTGAATAAGAATCAATGAAAATAGTATAAATAAAAGTGAATTATCAGTCCTGTATAGAGAGGTGGTTGGTAACCAGAATGCATGGTTCAATGTAAATGGAGCATCTAACATTTCTTTTTGGGTCAAATATATACATGTATGTTTGATAGCAGGCTAATAGGCCCAGTAAATTTAACCAGGCCCAACCGTAACATTGTTAACCCAGCATGGATGAGATATTACATTTGATGGCCATTTAGTTTTGCTTCAGTATTGTTAAAATAAATCTGTATCCTACACGTGTAGAAATAGAATGCTTGGACCGTTTTATTTGCTCTTTATATGCTTCTGAAATTGTAAGTTTGGGGGCAACAAAGAAAAACATGTTTTTATCTCCGTTCTTAGAATAGTTACTAGTGTAGCGGCTAGTGATTTTGATGAATTTTTTCCTGAAATATTATTTTTTTTTAAATTTTTTTACCCAAAAAGCATCTGTTTCAATTTATTTACACTACTAGTATCCTTTATTGTTCACGTTTAGAACGGGCCGTTCTAGATGCAAAAATAACACATGACGAATGGATCAGAACGGGTCGTTCCAGATTCAAAATTAACACATGATCAGTGAAACCAGAACGGGTCGTTCTGAATCTGGAATGGGCTGTTCTGGTCACTTCTGATGGGCCAACATATGAAACAATAGACGTGAGCCCACATTGAAGGATCATCCAATGCAAGGCCTATTGTTTCACACACGAGAATACATGGAATGGTACATGGCCAATTCCATCTATTTCCTATCTGTGCCACAACTACTACAATTCAAGCTTCGACATGAAGATTATTGACTAATAATAATGACAAGCCTAGATAACCTGCACATCACACTAGGAAGACATGTCCAAATAATGTATAATTATAATAGTTTATAAGCGACATAGTGCATTAAAAGTAAAAATGCATAACATTAAAATTCATATTACATTGATAAAGAGACATAGTGCATCAAAAGTAAAAAAAGATAACATTAAGATAGAGTGAATTATATAAGTTTTTTAATCTCCGTAATAGTATCCAGTTCCACAACGAGGGCAACATCTGTTACGGTCTGGATTACGCTGTGGAGGTTGTTGTTCAAAAGGATTTAGTTCATCATCAAGCACTGATTATTGAAATGTTGTTGAAGAACTACCAGGTTCATTAGCAAATTTCGGTTGGTAAAGAGATTGCATGTATAATTGTGCTAAAGATGGAGTTCTAAAATCTACTCCAAATAAATTTGTAAAAAAATCCTCTGAAGTTGTTGCAAATGAATGCCTTCTGTCAATTATGTTTTCTTGTGGGGTGATGTTGTGTAGAGGATTTGATACATGCTGATGAGTCTCTTCTTACAATCGCATGAAAGTTGCACTAGTTTCAAATATTGTGGAAGTCTTTCGTTATTGATGGGTCCTTGGATCTTGTAGTAGTCGTGTCACAGATAGAAAATAAATGAAATTGACCATGTACCATTCCATGTATTCTCGTGTGTAAAATAATGGGCCTTGCATTGGATAACCCATCAATGTGTGCTCATGTCTATTGTTCCATATGTCGGCCCATCAAAAGTGGCTAGAACGGCCCGTTTCGGATTTAGAACGGCCCGTTTCGGATTTAGAACGGCCCGTTCCGGATTTAGAACGTCCCGTTCTAGTTCCATTGATCATGTGTTAATTTTGAATCTGAAACAGCCCGTTCTGATATCAGAACGACCGTTTTGATCCATTCATCATGTGTTATTTTTGCATATGGAACGGTCCGTTCTGATATCAGAATGACCCGTGCTAAACGTGAACAGTAAAGGGTGCTAGTAGTGTAAATAAATTGGAATAGATACTTCTTGGGTAAATTTTTTTTAAAAAAAATAATATTTCAGTAAAAAATTTTGATTTTGATAGATCGGATGAATTCGACAAATGATAATTCAAAAAATTAAATTAGCTTAAATTTTTTTTTGGGTTCTAATCGATTCGAATTGAATCAATTAAAATTTGATGTTAACTTAATTTAAGTATTTGATTCAACTTTTGAGATCTGAACTAAACCAACAACTTATATATTATTATTTTTATTAGTTAACATAGTAACTAAATGACTTTGTGCAGTTGGACAATTAGATGTATATTAGTAGATTTGATTTCTAATAAACAATTTGAAATATTATAAACACTTTGGTATCAAAAATCATTAGTTCAAAAATGGTTTGATACTTGTGTTACTTAACTAAGGATCAAGATTCAATCTCTAATTTGTGCATGAAATCACTATTGAAATATCAAATTACTCTTATAAAGACTGATATGGTGGAATTTTTTTTAAAATTTTTCATTAGATATTCAATTATTCGAACTTAACCAATCCTTTTAATATCAGATTGATTTGATTCGGAGTTAACTAAAAATAATTTTTAAATCAAAATCAATTAAAATTAATTAATTCAAATTATATTTTCCTTTAAACCCTAATCAACCTGGCCTAGAAACACTCTTAATATCTGTCGTTTATCAATATTCTAAAACATTAGATAATGAAAAACATTTCTTATTTTATTTAAAAAAATGTTTAAATATCCTTTTTAGTATATATAATTTTATGAATTTTATCTTTTAATCTTTATAAAAAATACATTCTATTTTAACCCTTTTCTTACTATTCATTCTATTTTAACCTCTTTAAATATCATCATGTATTTCTTTTTAATTCCTTTAGTTTCATATAATATCCCTATATCAATAAGCAACTGGAATTAAAAGAAAACAAAAATAATATATATTAATACTAAAATAAAACATTTTTAATAATAACAACTGAAAGATAAAGTTCATAAAACTACAAAGATTAAAAAAATATTTAAATATTCAAAAAATAATAACACATTTTCTAGTGTATATATAGATATTGAACATACTCTATTATTACCTAAATATTATTAGAAATGACAATTTTTCTCACTTTACATTTAATAAGTTTGCCCCGATTTGATAGTTTTTAATTAAATTTAACAAATCATAAAAGTGTGTTTGAGAAAGTGTTGATAACACTCCTCGTCTCATAAATAGTGAACTGCCGTCAAATGAGATCTTCAATATATTTTTGCAGGTCTGATAGTATCCCTTTCTTATTTTTGTGTAGCTTTTTTAGCTATTGAACATTTAAACATAGATAGTAGTGCCAGATGATTGCAATTGTAACTCAATCTAGGAAGGTAGATATGGATTTATGCGGTGGTCATTTTATTTAATACAAGATAGGATTAGGGAAAAGCAGCAATGCAAAATCTTTCCATCCTATTTATGTTGTCTAAAACAAATACACTCTGAATGTAACTAGTGCAACAAAATGAGTTTTCTCCCCCACAGCTAAAGTACCAAAATTACACGTGATTGCTATCTGTACATTGTACCATATCTTGCAAACAAAGTGAAGATTTTATATATGACCTTGCAATGGCTTTGGTACATCAAAATACAACACATCTTCAAAAGCTGCTCTTTTAGTTTGCAGCAACAATGCCCGCGTCCATCACAAGCTGCTCAGTCAAAGCTGAGAGTCGGGCAACTCTTGCTTTTACCTCAGTGAAACAAACAGAGTCATTGATATCTGTGATCGAATCAGGGTTTTTATCATCATTACTTTGCACGACACTGATGTAGCTATCAGCTTCAACACTCTGGATAGCCTTATTCATAAGTTGTCGACTCATATCGGCAAGTTTTTGAAGTGCATCCGTGGCAGCTTCAACTTCAAGCTGAGCTGCCTCAAGCTGAAGTTTCTCAATTGCCAAATCTCCTAGGCTCTTATCACCAATTCTCTCCTGTGCCAAAGCATACAGCCTTTTAAGATCATTAGAGTCTTCTGTCACCTCTTCCCTTACTTTTTTTAACTCTACCTCTTTTGCGTCCAATCTTGCAAGAGTCATTTTCAGCTCCTCATCTTTAATTGTTAGAACCCTCTGTGCCGCAAGAACTTCCATCTCCTTTTCTTTTAAGGTTTCCTTAGCCAACTCAAGCTCATTCTCAAGTCTTTTTTGTTGCCATCTAGATTCATTAGTAGGTTCCACCATTAGTTCCTCGAGTAGTTGATTACCCATTTCATCTTTTAGTGGTCTTGATGAGTTGATGTCTTCATCCTTAATGGAAGAAACCAGTTTGTTTGTGAGATCTAAAATTCTTTCCACCACTGATTCAGCCGCGAAAGCCTTCTGGTTAGTATCATTCAACTTGTTCTCAATTATCTTCACATGCTCATCTTTCTCCCTTAGCATATTGGTTGCTTCAATGAGCTGGGATTCTTTACTGTTCATAAGCATCTTAAGATCAGAGATCTCCTGATTAACTTCCTCCAGCTTCTTCCTAGCATTGGAAAGCTCCAAGTCTTTCTCCTCCAAGATACCCTGAAGGGAAGCCTTTTCAGATTTCAAACGCTGTATTTCTAGCTTGGCATCAACAAGCTCCGACTCTTTGACCTGAAGAATGGCACTCGTTTCTCTGAATTCATCACTTTTTCTCTTTAATTCTTCCTTAAGCAAAGCCATTTCTTTGATTGCCTGCTCCAAAGAAGTTCTCTCTTTCTTCAGCTCCTCCTCTAACTCACTAATGAGCTCCTTCTCCATCTTCAGATCCCGTTCAAGCTCCTTGTTCCGAACCTCAGCAACCCTAAGTTTCGTTCTCTCACTCTCCACTTCTGTCTGTGCATCCTTTAAATTTTCCATGTATGACATGACACTTGCCCTTTGCTCCCCGAGATCACTCAGCTGCTGTTCCAACAACCGCTCTTGCTCTTCCATTTTGCTCCTAGAAGACGCCAACGCTTGCTGAGACGAAACCAATTCAGACCTCACATCATTGAGAAGCTTCTTCACCCTCCTGAAATCATCCAGCGTCTCACTACTCTCCTCAGCATGCCTCGCAGCATCCTCTCCCAGCCTCTTAAGCTCCTCCTGCGCCAACAACCAATCCATCGCCTGCTTCTCCAAATTCGCCTCGGAAACCCTCAGCTTCTCCCTCTCAACCTCCCTCTGAACCAAGAAAACCTCAATCTCTTCCTCTTTCTCTCGAACCGCCCTCTTCAGTTCCTCAAGCTCAGTCTCCTGTTTCTTCAAAACCTCATTCGCTTCATCCAGAAGCCTCCCCTTCTCCCTAAGCTCAGACTCAAACGCCACAGCCTCCTTACTCTTCACCTCCAATTCAACCCTCATTTTCTCCACTTCCCCCTCCTTCAACCTCAGCGCATGCCACACCGCGTCAATCTCGTGATCCCGATCCCTAACCCTAAGCTTCAGCTCCTCAATCCGGCTCGCCTGAGAAACCAATCTAGCAGTAGCCTCCTTCATTTCCTCCTCAAGCCTCTCATACCTAACCCTAGCAGCCTCAATCTCAGTCTCTTGCCGCTCCAACTCCTCCTTCGTGAGCTTCAACTTACTATTCTCCAACAACACCGTCCTCTCCGCCTCCATCAAATGATCCTCCTTCTTCTTCAACGCCACCAGCGCCGCCTCCAGATCCGACTCCAGAACCCGAAGATCCGGTTCCTCTCCGGTAAACCGGTTCTGCGTCTGCTCGAACAGCCTCTCAAACAAAACCCTAGCAGACTCCGCCGCTCCATAATCGTCAACGCTACGCCTATTGTCGTTCAACACCGACCTAACGCTAACGCTCAAACCAACACCGTTCCGTAAACGACGACATCTCCTTCCGCCGTTCGACGCGAAACCTACTCGACCACAACTACGATGCCTCCTATTGAACCTAACAGAGCAAAACAACTACACAAAAAAAAAAAAAAAAAAACCGTTCCACGTCAATTCAAACGCAAACTCGCTAATCAACCGAACCACCGCGAGATTACAGACATCGATTCGCGGAGTTCAAATTATCACTCTCTAACACACTTTTCTTAACCGTTAGTCGTTATCATTACATTGCGAAAATCGAAATAATTAACAGAAAGAACGAACCTGCGAGTGACACGGAGAAGAGGTGGAAGCGGAGAAAGCCATGGACGAAGCTAATCGCCGATTGAAGGTGGCGGCGTGGTGGAGAATCGCGCGCGGAGGTTGGAGGAAGGTGTGGTGAAGAACATGGTTTCGATGCGATCGATGGAGAGAGAGAAAAGAGAAAAAGCGAAGGCGCGAGTGATTTGATTGGAGGAAAAAAGTAAGGAAGGAGCAAATAGATGAAGAGATGCAAGAGATTTTGAAAGTATTAATAGTGCCAAGTTGAAGCAGAAGCAGAAACCTGGTTTCAGAGTTTTTTTTTTGGAATGGGATAACGAAAGGAGAAACTTGACGTGCTGAAGAGGAATCCCTCTTTCTTCGGGTTTATTTGAGCCACTAATAAACTTGTAAACCACGACGACGGAAACACCAATGACAGCTTTGCATGGAATTTACGACAAGAGAGAATTTAGATTCCAGTAATAATTATTATTAATTAGTCATTAATGGTAATTGAATTTTTTATTTTTTCAAATTGAGGTTAAGAATGCACCACATGTGATAATACTAATACTTTCACTAAAATGATTTTTTACTTCTAGTTTTTCTTTTAAATTTTAATCGGCATTTTAAACACAGTATTGTTTGGGAGAGGGTGAATTTAAGAGAATGGAAAAGATTATAGGTAAGAAATATGGTGAAGTAGATTGTAATTTGTTATTGTTTGATTAAGTAAAATTAGGTGGAAAATATAAGAAAATTGATATTTTAAAGTTGTATTTTATATAGTTATATTTTTATATAAAAATAAGTAATATATATATATATATATATATATATATATATTATTTTATCTATCTTTATATTGAAGTGATATTATATTTTTTGATATAATATAATTGTAAAATATGTTAAGCTAGTTAGCATAACTGATTATACTACTTAATACAATGAATGATTATATATTTTTTAATGTAATATAGTAATATAATAGATTATGTTAGTTGACATAACCAATTATTCTACCTACCCTATCTTTTTATTGTAAATGCATATTGCATTAGTCTCAATCATATTGGAATATGGTGACCCATATATTTTGTACTTGATCAATAATATATTAGTTTGGTAACATATTAGAATATAATATCCTTTCAAAAAAAAATATTAGAATATGATATATTTGGTCATGTATCTAATTTTTGAAGATTATTGTAAAATTTTATGAAAATCTCCTGATGTGAAAGGGTGATTATGAAACCATATGATCTACACTTCATTCATCACAAATCCTTTCTAATTCACTTTCATCAAACAAAGTTATTTTTATTGAACTCCTTCTATTCCATTTCCACCTCTTTCTTCAAATCTCTCTTAAATCATCTTTTTCAAACATAATGTAAAGATATATTTTTTTTATAAGCAAAAAATATAATATTTAGAAAAGGGAGTACAAAGAGTACTCTAACCTATATACAAAGTAATACATATCAATGGTTCATTTAACCAATTCATGTATACTAGCTATTCCTCGTTCAAACCCACAGTCAACCATTTTTCGGACCTATATTTGATAGCATCTATAATCTCTCCAACATTTAATAAATCATTATTAAAGACAATGTTATTTCTATGTAACCAAATACTCCATACCACGACTATCCAAATAGTTACTACATACCTCCACTTCTTTTTCCCACCCACAAAACCACACATATCCAATAAAAGGTCCTCTAAACACTTTGGCATACATGAAGAGAAGCTCAACCAATACCAAATCGAATACCATATATTGCTAGAAATAAAACAATGCAAGAATAGGTGTTTCACCTCTTCGTCTTCACAATTACACAAGGCACAAGATTCATTTATTAACAACATGTCACGTTTCACAAGCCCCTTACGTACTGGAAAAGCTTGTAATAACAATTGCCAAGAGAACACACTGGCCTTTTTGGGAACCAATGCCTTCCACATATGACGCAATGCCAACACCACACCGTTATCAACAGCAGAGCCTGCAGAAAATAATTATGTAAAAAACCATATGCAGATTTTATCATATATGCCTTTGATGTATCACAGTTCCACACTAACATATATGGCATGTATAATTGCGGTTGTACACCACCAAAGAGCCCTATCAATTCACGAATCATTTCCTCCTCTTGTTGAAAAATTATGTCTTCACCATTGGAAATCCCACATCCAAACACCTTCAACAAATCGATCATTTTCACTAATATTGGACTCCTTATTTGCAGTCACAAAAAATATTCTAGGAAAAACCTTTACAAGAGCAACACCTCCAACCCACTTGTCCACCCAAAACCTCACTATGGTACCATCACTAATAACATGGTTTAAACTAACATCCACCCAAAAATCAGCCTATTGACACACCCACGTTACATCCTTCCACCAATCTGATGCTTTTGGATCCACACCATTATGTCTCATCACCAATGAAAATTCACCATACTGTGCCTTTAGAATTTGTACCCATAAAGAATTTGAAAATTTCAATCCGTGCCACACCCACTTTCCTAATAAGCTCATATTGAACCAAGCCACGTTCTTTATTCCAAGGCCACCTTCTTTTATAGGTTTACAAACTTGGTCCCATTTTACCCAACAAATCTTAGAGGACTCCTTAACCCCACTCCGCAAAAAAACGTCTTTGAATCTTTACCACCTCTTTAATAATAGACGGAGGCATTTTCTAAAATGACAAATAATGTAAAAGGAGACTATTTAGGACAACATTAAGAAGAGTTACCCTCCCCCCAATAGAAACATATTTGTGTTTCCAAGATACCAACTTATTATGCAAAACCTCTAACAAGCGCTCACAAGCCGTCTTACGCCTAGACTTATCACCAACATACAACTCCAAATAATGAAAAGGCAAAGTCCCCACCTTACAATTTAAACATTAAAATTAAGGATATATTTGATTCAATTTATTTTTTAACTTAAAATTAAACATTAAAATTACATAGAAGTTATTTAGCATTTTTTTATTTTAATTCAAAAATAGGGTTTAACTTAGAAAGTTGTATTAATTTTTTTAATTTTTTTTAAATTTTTTTAAAATTTTTTTTGATAAAGAATTCCCAATGGTTAAAAAAAATTATAATCAATAAGTACATATCAACCGTTGATGATTGTCTTAACTAAATCAATAAGTAATTTGTGTTAAATTACTCAAAAAAGAGCTCTCTCATAGCAGATCTATTCGGCTAAATCAAAATTTCTTATAACAGATAATATCTTTGACCTATTAAAAAAATGAAAGAAAGGAAAGGATGAGGCGGTACAAAAAGAAGAGAGGTCATTTTTTTAAAACATTTTCACCAGGATACTTTTTTTTTTCTTTTCTAAATTGTAGTTTTTATCTCTTATATATATATATTAATTTGAAATTTTTGTCTCTAAGTTTTGATTATGTAATTTTAATTTTTAATTTTATTAAATTTATTGATTTTCTTGATAAATATCTATTTTTATTATTAAAATTATAATGTTGATCTTGATATTAATTAAATAATATGATAATTTATATTTAATAATAATTTAATTTAAATTTCATTTTAATTATCATTTTTATCTTACAAAAATGATAAAATGAAATAAAAATGAGAAAAATAAAAGATAAATATTCAATTTAACCTAAAATTAATAAATATTAACTATCATATCATTTACTTAATATCTAGTTTTGATTAATATTATAATATTAATTATTAACAAAAAAATACTAAACAAAACAAAATTTTTGTGGAAGATCGTATGTAAATGATTTTGATGATGCCAAAGAAGTTGTAGAAAACAAGAGGTCAAGTTAAAGAAAGGTGATCAAGAAACAAAAATCTCAAAAGGTTTTAGATAAGTCTTGTCAACCTAGCTTAATATGTAAAAAGAAATCTTTAGAAATATTGCATAAGATTCTTGGCCATTTAAAATAAAGAATTTCAAAGAAAACCCAAATATAATTTTTTATATAAGTAAGGTTTTGAAAATAGAAGTTTTCTATATTAAGTTTTAAATGAGGTAATTATTGTTTTAAGAGTCTGGTAATCGATTACCATTACATGTAAGCGATTACCAGAGGATGAAACTCATATATTCAAATTTTGCTTTATTAAAACTTGCTCTGGTTCCGATCTATATTTATACCTACAAATAAACAATCAAATGGGCTTACGTTTGACTAAACAAGGCCTGGTCCACTAATTAAGTCCTAATACACTAATTACAAGTCATTAAAACTATTAGGATTATGAAACCTTTGTAGCTCACAAAAACATAAAACTTTTTGAAATGGATGTAAATAACACATTTTTAAATGGAATCATTGAGGATGAAGTTTATGTTAAACAGCCTTCAGGTTTTGAAAATCCTAATTTTAAAGAACACATTTTCAAATTGAAAAAAGCTATTTACAATCTAAAACAAGCTCTTGGAGCTTAGTATGAAAGATTAAGTAATTTTCTACTTAGTAATGGTTTTGTGAGTTTGGGATTAATGATTGCAAGCCAATGCCAACACCCATTCATTTATTTGTAGGTCTATTAAAATACGAATCAAGTAAACCAAGTAGATTAGACAATCTATAGAGGTATGGTTGGTTCCTTACTCTACTTGATTGTAAGTAAACCTAACATCATGTTTAGTGTCTATCTTTATGTTGAATTTCAATTTGATCCCACAAAATCGTATTTAAAGGTTGATAAACGAATATTTAGATATCTTGTAGGTTCTACTAACTTGTGTCTTTTTTATTAGAGAAAAAGAAAAAATTTCAAGTTAGTAGGATTCTATAATGATGAATATGTTGGATATATGATTGAAAGGAAAAGTATAAATGAAGGTTATTAGTTCTTGGAAAGTGATAGACCAATTTTAATATATCTTTCTATGCATTTTTTTTATTTACTTGACTTTTATTAGTATCATATAGTGATATATTAGCTATGATTTGTTCTAGTGAGTTATTTTGGTCTTGGTTGTAAATTTTAGTTAATTTTCATAATTTTTTCCTATTTTGACATTGTTTCTTGTGTAACCCATATCTAGAACTCCCGACATCATATTTAGATATCATTGGTGTCCCTAGAAAGATACGAGAGGTTTCTACAACTTCTTTGTTGGAAGCAAATGCCCGTTAATATGTTAAACAACCCAAAAGTACATTGTAATGTTGGGGCCCTACATAATATTTTCTTTTTATTTTTAGAATCTAATGTTAGGATTTTTTTTAGTGATGTAATTAGTTGATAGCTCAGTCGTATCACTATCAAACAATTCTAGGTTCCTCAACAAATTTTTGTAATATAGAGAACTTAACCTAGGTCATCTCTCAAGGACACAAGCACAT